ATTTTCCTTCTTTGTATTCAATATCATAATTATACTGGTCTATCTTTCCGATCCAACGTGCCAGTTGTCCCTTTGGGTTCTTCAATGATCTTAACCTGCATAATGCAGCATGGTCTGTCCTGATGGTAAACCTGGCGCCATAGAGGTAAAGATGGAAATATGTCAGACTCTTTACTATAGCAAGAAGTTCCCTCTGTGTTACACAGTAGTTCCTCTCTGGTCTACTCAGAACTCTACTGAAGTAGGTCATCACATGTTCGTTTTCGCCCACTTTCTGAGACAAGAACTCCTCCAATTCCGACATTACTAGCGTCACAATCCAGTATGTATGGCAGTGAGGGATTTGGAGTGCGGCCAATTTTTCTTTCAATGTCTTGAAAGCATGCTGGTACAAAGTCCCAAGAAACTTCTTAACACTCCAACATTGTCTGGTGTTGGCCAATCATGCACTGCTTTTACCTTATCAGGATCAGTTCGCACACCATGCTCACTTACAATGTGACCCAAGTAAAGTAGCTCTTTCTGGAACAAGTGGCATTTCTTGGGATGGAGTTTGAGGTTTGCTGCTTTCAAATGCTTGAATACTTCCTCTAGCCGAGACATTTCCTCATCAAACGTTGTTGCAAACACAGTGACATCATCCAGGTACACTAGGGCTATCCTCCATTGTAGGCCTTACAGCACTCTTTTCATCAGCCTCTCAAATGTTGCTAGAGCATTGCTAAGCCCGAATGGCATCACACACTATTGCCAGAGACCTTGGTCATAACTAAATGCAGTCTTAAGTTTATCTGCTTCAGCCATTTTCACTTGATGGAAACCCGACTTTAAGTCCAGAGTTGAAAACCACCTGGCTCCATTTAGGGCATCAAGAGTATCATCAATTCTTGGCAGCGGGTATGAGTCCTTTTCAGTTACACTGTTTAGAACCCTGAAGTCCACACAGCAACATTGGGTCCCATCCTTTTTCTGGACTAACACGACGAGAGCTGACCAGGGACTATCTGATTTCTCGACCATCCCTTCCTTAATTAGGCCATCCATGACCTTCTCCATCTGTTGCCGCTTTGCTGGAGCTATTCTCCTCGAAGGGATCTTTATTGGACGGTGGTTGCCTGTGTTTAATCTGTGCTCCACAAGGTCTGTGCATCCGAGGTCATGATCTCCTTTTGAAAAGACGTCTGCATAATTCGCCAAAAGTTCCCTAACCTGAAGAGCCTGTGATGATGACTAATGGACTATGCTCTTCTTATAGAGGTCAGTTAAATGTTCTGGGAGAGGATGTCCTTTCTTTATGGTTGTATTTCTTGCCTTAACATTGACTGGCTCTACCTCCTGTCACACACCCAACAATGCCCCTTCCTTAAGTGTCTGCTCACATTTAGAGAAATTGGCCACTGTTATATGTACTATTTGATGACCTGCCACAAGTGACAATCCAATCTTCATATCTGCTGGAGTGGATGGGTCTTCCACTGCTTCCACAAGCATTGGGCTTCCTTGGGGATGTTCTTTTATTCTACCCCAAATTATCTTCTCTGACATAGGGGGTATTGGAGTTTACTTAAGTGCTGTGACATGCAAATCAACAAAAGCAGCAACACTTACCGGAATTTGGCCTTTGTTGTTCCCAAACGTCATTTTATCAAAATTAACTACACACTTTCTCGGTAGTAAGTAGTCCAACTCTAGTATGCATTGGTCTTCAATGTCAGTGAAGTATACTTTGTGTCTGTCCTTCATACCAATGAGCTCAATAGTTACCCACACTGGTCCCATAACCTTGCATAATGTCCTGTCACGCCACAGAGCTTCTGTATGGCTTCTGGTACTCCTTTGTGAACTAGCACCTTGATACTCATAATGGTTTGCTGAGATGCAGAATCTATGACAAAGTTGCAGTTTTGGCCATCCAGCTTTCCTGTCATGTAGGCACTATGTGTGCTTGCCATTTTACACTTAGCTGTTGGGACTTGCACAATGGGGGTTGGTGGGCATCCCTCAGCACCAATCACTACTGGTTTCCCGAAGCTGACTTATTGGTAGTATTCTTCTTACACTGGCTCCTCATATGTCCTTGCTCTCCACAATTCCAACAACGTTTCTGCGTAGCAGCCTTTCCTGCTGTGGCATCTTCCCTATGTTGAAGCTGCCAGCATTGAGCTCTCTTGTGCCCAGGTTTGTTACAGTGCCAGCAAAGTCCCTCAAACTTCTCTGAAAGCTGCCCTTTTCTGGCCTTGAATCCTGATGACTGTACCAACCTTGGTACCTCTGCAGTTGGGTAGGCCTTGTGTGCCATACTTTCCAAATCCTGTGCCAGCTCTTGCAGGCTCACTCCTTTTGCACGGACTCTCATCCTAAACCTAGCCCTGTAGACTTTGGACCGATTTTGAGTTCTATACCTGAGTTCTAGAGCAGCTACCAATGCTCTATAGTTGTGCCTGTCATCTGCTGACAACTGTCCAAGTATTTCCAGTGGTTGTCCCTTCAAGCTCATTGCCAGGTACACTGCTTTCTGCTCCTCTGTCTATCCATTCATTTCTGCCAGTAGCTCAAATTGTGCTCTATATTCTTCCCATGGTGCCTTCCCATGGTGTTTTCTTCGTATTAGACCACCCCTATTGCTGACACTCATCTCTGGAATGTGACTTCTGGCAGGACTGAAGATGTCTGCATTAGGGTTTGGCTGCGGGCTGATTAGGTTCATGGTTAATATATCCTCCCTGTGGAAAACACAGTAAATCATCCTTTAATGTATTTAACTCACTTTAAAATTTACTAATATTTTCCATTTGTGTATGCCGGCTTTCTCTCAACTGTTGGAGACTTTCTTCTTCTTTCTTTTCTTTTCCTCCAACAACTGCTGTAATCTCTCTTGTTTATTTTGCTGTTGACCTGCCACTGTTGTAGGTTTTCTTGCCACTGCTGTTGTCTCTCTTCTTGTTT